TAAACATGAAAATGTTAAAGATTAAAAGACGTACATAAGAACACACCCAGAACCAAAACCATAGTTTTTGGCAGCCCTTATCATGTCCAGTCATCTCCCATAACCACAATCATCATCTTCGGTCAAAAAAAAAAAAAAATCCCTCTCTCCCTCCCCTATATCAACACTGATAAAACTTGGCGAAAGACTTGAACATCATCTCATCATTTTTTTTTTAAACCCATTTCTTCTATCTTAAAAATAATTCCAAACTCCATCTCTCTCAGCTTCAAGTGATACAAAGAAACTGTCCCATGCCTTTGATAAAGCCTTGCACAATGGGATTCCTCCAAAGATTATCCAGAAGCTGTAATACATCCAGGGGCCTCCTTTATTGATATTGCAAACACTGACAAAAGTAGCCTGAAACTTCCATAAGCCACTTCTCATGCAAAGGTTATGATCTTTCAAAAAATAAATAAATAAATAAATCCTTCCTTTAAATGTGGGCATGCAGAGGTCCTAACATGAGATAAATTGTTGTTGTAACTAGGGCTGCAACTAATGACTATTTTGCAAATCGATTAATCTGTTGATTATCTTTCTGATTAATCCATTAATAATCGGATAGTAAAAGAAGACGATGTTCCTTAAAGAAGACAGTGGATCACTGCGCCTTCTGTTTAGCTACCCCTCACTTTGAGATGTTCCTCTACGACCAGCTGAAGGCTCAACACGTTCCTGCTGCTTTCAAACAAGCCTTTAACTGCGTTTTTTCTTCCTGATCACTGAGCCTTGATTTTCTTGTGCTTTTATCATTTTTATCTTATAGCACCCAAAAAACGTACTTAAAAATGTAAGATATTATTAACACTTTTAGATGACGCTTTACATGCAGGGGGGAAAAAAAACATACACATCCCAACCTGAACTATCCATGGACTGTTGGAAAATGCCATAATGTGTCTCTCTTCCCAGAAGAAGGCCGATTCCGACCTTTTGATCATCTCAAACTTGCTGAGCTGCTTCATGGCGTAAACCTTCTTCGAGGCCTTGTGACGGACCTGTTTGTAAGGTAATGGGGATGGTAGGAAGGGGTGAAGAAAGGAGATTATGCTGTAATGTAAATTTTCAGTATAACATCAGCTCAAAGACTATGACAACAAAAGGTTTTCTATGTTACAATGACAGCATATAAAACATTTAACTTGAAGCGGTAAGGGTTGTACACACCCATTCAGAGACATGTTTACACATGCACTAAACACAAAAGTACCCCCACACCATACTACATATTCATACCCCACACAGGGCCTGTCAAGACCTGTCCCTACATCCCAAAGTCTTATCAGATACCTGATTCTACAAGCACAGGAGAAAGGCAGTTAAAACATTAGGTTAAGATGGGAGAAAATATGACTGCCGGCTTTAAGCATAGGGTTCCCTATTAGAAAACTGCATAAAAAATAATCAGTTCTATGTATAAAACAGATTAGCTTGTAATTCTGTCTGTAATTTGTCTTGATTGTTGCTCCCTCTAGTGGTTCTAAAACAATTCAGGAAAAGCAGAAAAAATTGTCATATTTTAATAGAGATATGAACTTCAAACAGCACAACAAAGGAGGAGTAAATCACATCAACTGTGAAACCTCTTACCAGCTGCACTTCTCCATAGGCTCCTCTCCCAATCAACTTCACTTTCTCAAAGTCGTCAAGCTTGACTTGCAGCTCCCGCAGCTCGTTCACCAGCTTCTCATCTGCAGATAGGAGGCAAAAAAACCTTAATCTACTACTACCTCCGTTAAAAATCATCTTACAGGAGGTTTTAGAGAATTTGATTCTTTGAGGTCTGAAGCAGTGGTTTTGAACATAATAGTTTATTATTTAAATTTTAAATAAAATAGAATAGGTTTTAAAAAGTGACCAGAGAAGAGAGTACACTGCCTTTCTCAGCCTACTGTTGCAATTGAAATATTATTTGGGCAGGACAGACAAATCTAGCTGATACAGAATACAGATACTAAAAGAACTCCAACTATGCATCGCGTTATGCTAACATTATTTTTCAAAATCTGATGGAAATCAACAAACAGTATTTTATTTAAGCAGAAAAGCGCACTGCAGATATAAGTTATATTCAACAGGTTATATCGGCTTAGGGCTGGACAATACGGCTAAAACTTATGATCTATTTTTTCATTTCAGACAATATATGTAAATAATATTGAAAATAAAAAAAATTCAGGAAGACTAACAAGAATGGATAAAACAGAATCCTGTACAAACGTATAACAATTATTTTGCCATGTGTTTAAAACTCCACCGATATTAAATAAAAAAAAAAAGGAAAAAAAAAAGAGGAAACATTAAACCTCATAAAACTTGAAACGACTGTCATGGACAAATAAAGTAATCATATGTTGCAAAGTATGTTTACATTTGCAAAAGTCATATCATCATTTTTGAATTATAATGAGAAATTAATATATGTCTTGTGTTAAAAACAACTAAATTCTGCAGATGTCTATGCTACATATTTCTGATTCATTGAATTCAAATTCATATTAAAAACTATTCACTATATTAAGTCTGCAAATTAAAATGAATATATCAACGTATGGATAACACGTTATACATGACTATAAAAAAAATCGAAATGTATTTTTACAGCAGACAAAATACTTGCTATGTTTTTCTTTCAGACAAAGTTATATTATGTTTAAACATTATAATACTGTGAAGGGAATGTCAGTCAAATAAGTAAAACCTTTTGTGGAACTATGGGGCACAATATCTTCCAGGAAATTAAGCAAAAGTCTTTTTGAGTTACATGAAAACCTGAATGAGAAAATAAGGCAAAACACAAATTAAAACCAGTCTTAAGCTTTGTTCTCATAATCATGTTCCAAGTTTTAATACACAGCATGTTTCATCTACAACGCTTTCAGTTAGTTTCATTCTGATTCCTCAAACTGCACAAAGTAAACTGGAAATATGACTGAAATTCTAAGGAAAACTTTAATTTCAATTTTTGCAACCACCACCTCGCCCTCTGGGTATCCTACGCCTACAGGTTTAGACATTATTAACATACGCAGGCCTCTAGATTTTGACAGTCACATCTTTTACATCTAATACCTTCTATAGCCAGGAAAGACGTGGCCAAGATGAACTTTCAGGACATATATCTATTGTAAACATAGAGATAGCTAGTAACTAGCTAGATTTACTTTTAGAATTAGTAGTACTTTACAGAACTTTTTTATTTTACATGTGAGTGTATAACAACTCTAGCTAGGTTACATATTCTGGTTGTTCTACCAACCATGAGTAACTTGAGTAATTTGGAAATTAGGTGAAAACAGGTTGAACCTCTTTTCCTCTCTTAACATATATGCAAGAGCTGCTTCTAGGATTCATTTAATAAGTTCATGTTGATAGTTTAATTTTGAAAATTGTTTCATATGCATGAGTATGTTATGCTTTAATCATGTGATTCATTAGTATTTTTTTATATAAAGCCAGAACCTGGACATTACTCTGTCTGATTGCAGAAGTTTCTACCTTATATCAGAAGTTACCAACCAACAATTAACCAGCATTTGAGTAGCCATTTTATCGTATACTTTTATACCCTTGAGTCAGTTCTTGAATTGCTACTTTTCACTTTTACTTGAGTGAAAAAAAATTCAACTCTTGCTTGAGTCAAATTTCCTCTGGATAAAAGCAATATGTTATTTCACGGCTTCGCCTGAAGTATCGACCAATCAGCCCCCCGAAAAAAGCATTTGCCCCACTTAAAAAAGACAAATACAACAAACATACGTGCCCAGGAAGTGCAGAGGAATAATTATAGCGACTTAATTTTCTGTTAGAAGAGATTCTGTAGCATTTTTAACTCCACCATAGCAGCTGTATTGAAACAAAAGAGGTTTAAACAGTAACAGAGGAGCTCTTACATCTCTTCAGAAATGCCTCAATGTTCTTGTTCTTCCGCAGCACAGGGTAGTTGAGATCATGAGCTAAAGCGTTCATAGAATCCTGAAAGACAAAACAATAAAAATGAAAACATTTTTTAAGTACAACTTAGACAGAAAACAGGAAATCCTAATTTAATCCCTAAATATCAAAGTTGCCAGTTTTGACTCATTTTGCAAACCAGTACAAATTCAGTAACAGCATATTCTTAAAATTCTGATATTAGCATGTTACAAATATATGTGTTCATAGAAGGAAGACCTTTGTGCACTACAACAAACATTTTCTCTTTTTCAGGTTATCAATTTTCATCTTCCAAATTATCTCACAAATAGAGCAGTTTAACAAAAGAAATAGGTTTCTGTGAAACAATAGAATATGTTAAACCCCTTCGCTAATGTGTTTCTCTACTGTTGATTAACTTTTATAACATACTAAAGGAAATACATTTTTATACTACAAATTAACATGGTCTGTATGGAGCTTTCAAAGTACAAGAAGAATCCTATCATCAGTATTAGTCAGGAGAAGAATGCAAAACACTTTTTAGGTTATTTAATATACCAAGGACCATGATGACAGCAGTCTTTCTCAACTGGAGAAAATATGGCACAACAGCAACATAACCAAGAACTGGATATTACTGACAATCCTGGACACAAAACCTAAAGTTTAGGTGAGCAAGTCAGGGAAGCTACCCAGATGACAAGAGCAACACGGAAGGAGCTGCAGGAATTTTAGGTGAACACTATTTGGATCTTTTAAAGGGCTTTAAAAGAAAGCATAAGACATTCAAAGTCTTCTTTAATAATATAAAAAATGTGTTGCAGTCTGATGACACTAGTTATTACGTTTTTAAATCTTACTTGGGGGGGTGTTGGCCTAGTGGTTAGAGCAGTGCGCTGAGATGGTTGCAAGTACCTGGTTCGATCCCCAAGGCCTGCACTCTGGGTTCCTGAGCAAGACCCTTAACCCCACACTGCTCCCCGGGTGCCACACAATGGCAGCCCAATGCTCCACAAGGGGATGGGTTAAATGCAGAGATTAGTTTCTCCACTGTGAGATTAATAAAGTTCAAATAATATTATTATTATTCAAAAAGGAAAGTTTGACACAGAGGTATCTATGGAGCTAGTTTACCATTATCTTTTCTAACATAAAAACAATTTCTGACAAGTGCTTCTATGTTCCTTTTTTTCGGTTCTGATTTGAACCTTCTAATGAAGGTTTCTTTGGAAGCTTTTTTTTTCTTCCTTTTCCACTGTTGCTGCATGGTATGATGGATTGCTGCGGTCAATGGAACAAGGCAAGCGAATGGGTTTCTTTACATAGAAAACATGTAGCTAATCTGCCTGTATGATTTGGTGGAACTGTCTCTAAAAAGTACCTTGAGAGGACTTTTTTTAAACTGAATCTTTTATGTTAAGTATTTGAGCTTTCTGCCCCTTTCCTATACAACGTGAAAAACTATACAACATGTATATTCTTGTTGAAGACTTTATAACACCAAAAAAATACTAAGCTCAAAATAAACCATTGTATGTTTTAATTCTGATGTTTGCTTTAACATCTATGCTTTTTTTTGTGTGTTTATTCTTCTGCTGAAAATAAAAATGGGGCAGCTGAGTAACCATGACCTTCTTTTAGCTGATAACAGCTATAGAAACCAAATAGATGGACAAGGCAGTTAAAGGTAGAGGAAACACTTTTGCAAACTAAATTCTCCAAGTTGATGATAAACGAGAGAGGAAAAACTGAAGAAAATAAATACAGCAGTATAAAATAGTCAATAGACACATCTGACATGTCATGTCAAAAATAAAACTAATCACATGAGATTTACTTCCAGAACATTCAGACCGTTTCTATGCCTGAACACAGAGGGTTAGTAGGAGCATCTGACTAACAGCCGGGGTCTCTATGGTGTCATCAGAGCTTAAATTAGGGGTTTCAAGTTGCATGTAAATCCAAAATGTCTCTGTGATCCAAAACCTTAAGGGGCTGGAAAGGGAGTTGGGCAGGTGGGTGAGGGGGGGTTAGAATGCAGAGTGACCCTCTGTTCCCCCAAACAGGGGTCAAGTTGAGTCATCCAACATGCATGCGTGTGTCTAGGGAAGTTGAGCCATGGGTCTATTTGTTCGGGGACTGATGGGTGGGTGGGTGGTGGGGGAGGGGTGAACAGGGACGTGTGGAACAATTCTGCACCTTTAAATGGCAGTGGCGAGGGGAGATCTCCCTCACCGCAGACGGATAGAAATAGACCTAAAGGCTCAAAAGCTATTGTAGGACAAAGCGCTTGGAGGTTTGGATTCAGTGTGAGCGATCAAAGATCTGTGATCATTTTTCACAGTGGGTATATGCTAGGATATATATGACTGTGGTGTAGCTGCAGGGGAGAGGGAAGTCTGCAGATGTATTAAACATGTTCAACAGAAACAAGGAAATTATAAAGTTGACAGCTGCAGTAATATTCTTTACAGCTGCAGTAATATTCCTCTATGTTAACTATGCAGAGATGACGCAGTTTAATGATTTTCAAGAATCATCTTGTCACAAACACATCCTTTCCTTTCAAAGCCTGAGCTCAGATTTATTCAAAGCTATTTAATTACCCTTATTAAAGGTTTCCTAAAACAATTAGAGCAATATTCCATTATATACAAATGATTGTCATTCAATTTTAACTGTTTTCATGAATATTTTCAGTGGTCCAAGACACTATAGTGACCTCTTCAGATGCCAATCTATAGAAACAGGTAAAGATAGAGTGCATACCAAAAGTATAAAAAAAAAATGTTATCCAAATATCAAGACCCTGATCGAAATGGCAACATGGAGTAGATCGTATTGTGGGACAGGCAAGACAAGCCAAGTTTATTGATATTTTAAATTTTAGTACGTAGCAAAACAATTCAGTGATTAGCATAAAAAAACAGTTATTCATGTTCAATCATTATTTAATCCTCATTGCAGTGACAAAGGTAATGAAATAATTATTAAACATGATTAATTAAAGAGAAGAAATGCAGAATAAGTGCAAATGCTCACATAATGCTTGCATTATGTAGAGTCTGTTATATGGACTAAATTTTAAAACTCTGCCAGCTCCTTCAACTAAACCCATCATCTCATGAAAGCAGCACAAGAGAAAAGTTACTATAATAATGTATCTATTATAATGCAATGAATGGGTTCCTGGCTTAATTATATTAATAATAATAAAAATGTAATCAAAAAAATAAATTATACAGTGTGACACATTATTGTTGAAAATCATGTCAAATTTATGTCTTGAATTTTAAACAACCCTTTAGACAGCAATATCATTGTTTTACATATAATTGTATGCAATGTAAATAGGGGAGAGGAAAAAAGTATGTTACAGTGTATTACCAATGTACATGACAAAGGTTTTATTTACAATTGTGTGTAAAAACCCTATTTTAAATTTGTTCATAAATGTTGGAACATTGTACAAACCCAATAAAAACTGAGATTTTCTAGCCATCAGATTTCAAAGATGGCACAATATAAAGAGGCTCTGGCTGTCTTTTTAAGAGAAAACAAATTGCCCACATCCATGATCCTTCATGATGTTTGAAATTCTCAAATTCCCAAGTTTTTTTTTTTTTTTTTTTTTTTTTTTTCAATTAACCTCTTCATTTCATGGCAGGAGTCACTAACAATGTATTTTACTCAAAATGTCAGTTTGGTCTGATTTGACCAAAGAAAATCATTTAACAAAAGTTTACACACATTCTTGGCAGTAGGACGGAAGATTTTTTTTTTCTTCTTTTTTTGGCTTACTGCCAAAACAATTGATTGGTAAACAGATGGGTGACCTTTTGCTACACTTAGAAACAACTCAAACAGCTGTAAATCTCTAAAAATCTTTGATTGGTTTTTTAAATCCTAATACTGTCCTGCTGACTATGATTTGTGACTGAATAGTCCAGTAGTTTTTGCCCCGGTTCCAATTATTTTAATTTTTTAAATGTTGTTCTGGCTAACAGGGGTGCATTCAGGGTAGGATAGTTTATTTTAAAGAGCAAATTAATTCCGTTTTTGACCAGTGAAGTTTAATAAATCGCTCCTTAACTTGCATGACATGTTCTATTATACTTTCCATTTAAAATATGAAGAAGAAAAAAGGAAGTGCTTCACATCATACATTTTCAATCAAATGAGCAAGATGCTATGATGTGGCACTTTACTGCCTAGTATGAGCAGGGAGGGGTGAAATTAGTTTCACCAACTTCAAATTGCTGTTCAGTCTGTCATCAAGTCAACAATAAAAGTCATTCTACAGTGAGAGTGGTTCAGACGCTGGAACAAAATATATATATATATATATGTATTGCAATAGACTCCTCATTGATATCGATAAAAAAAAAAACTACTAACTAAAGTATTTATAACTTTATAGAACTCTGATCCAGAACTGCACAGCATTCTGGGAGATGTAGGCAGAGGAAAGGCCAAGCTAAGCAAAGTTGGTGGTTCAGCTGATCTATTTATAAAGGTTAAAGGATAATTATAAATATGGTTAAGTTTGCTATAGATTTCAGCGAACTTTTTCAGCCAGGCTTTTTCACGAATACATCATATTGGCAACTTTGGATGAACCTGTAGTGTCTATTAAAAGCTTACCAACTGATTTCTTTCTAATCTCATACCTGTAGTTTAGTGCTTTAAATACTGAGACTTTAATCATTTCCAATGAAAGTAAGGAATTAGGTAGGACGTCCTTATAGTCTATAATCCAGTAGCTCTATAGAGTCGGATTAATAATTCAAACTTGTTCCAACAGTGGTACATTGTATCATCTGCCCTGGAGACATGTAAAGGCATAATGCTGTCAAAGCAGGAAAACAGAATTCAGGAAATGTTAACCCCACTTTGTGCATTTCTGCTGTTTGCAACCATGCATGTTGAACATTTTCTTTCAACGCCGAGGAGTAGCAAAATAACACGTTTAAGCAGTCATCCTAATAAGGAAGAAAAGAAAAATGGATCCAAATGGTTCATTTTCGAGGAATTTGGACAAATCCAAACATGATCCGGTGGAGACGGACTGCGTGTTCTAAAAATGATACTCTTTCTGTGACGTAGGGTATGCAAAGTGATACCACTAGGGTGCATTTCATAACCAAAGCCTTATGATAAAATTGAATTAATAAAAAGAGTGTCTACAGTGTTCAGAGCTCCATGAATATTGTTGACAACAAAAAGCTTCTGCTATCCTTTAGCCATCAACATGTTCACCAAATCAGTAAGACAAGTACTGTACATAAACACCCCACCTACACTAAGAAATTAAACAGCAAAAGCCTTTATATATTTTTTTGGCTTATTTTGGGTAAAGATATAAACATGCTGCTTACTCCAAAGCAACAAACACAACTGGTAATGCAACCCATTTATTTCGAGTATGTTTTATATGTCAGGGTATATGACTAATTTTCAAAGTAACAACTTTGCTTTCCAGCAAATAGGTCTTAGTTGTTGAATAAGCTCCCTTATAAAGGAAATATTTTTTAATAAAAATTAATTTATTGTTACATTCATCCAACAATACATCCATGCACATCTTAAATCAGGTCACCAGGGCAACAGGTCCAGCAGGAAACTTTAAACACCCAGTTCCCCTACAGCTTAATGGCATCCCCCATTATAAACTGGAGGAAGTCCTGAGGGAGAACCGATTTTTTTCACTTTATAAATAATTTTTGCCCAAGTGAAAATGATCCATTTAAAGATATCCTGAACAGGGATCAAAAGTTGTATTTTACTCTCTACTATAAAATAAAGAAATCTATACAAAACAGAAACCAGTTGTAGACACACAGGAACCAGTAAGCTGAGGTCACGGCTAATTATCTCCAACTCAATTCTAGGAAATAACTCCAGCTTCCTGCCTGTTATTCCCCAGCATTAGGAAGCATGGTGGCCATTGTTATTTTAACCCACAGAAGCTCTTAAAATTTGGGAGCCGGTTCTGGCTGAAAATATTATATATATTGAACATTTTGAAGGATGAGCAGTATATATGTGGGTCATTTGAGTCATCCGTTTATGCAGCAATAAGAGCCCAGCTGGAGATATCAGCTATCACAGGCTTTACATGACTTTACTTGTGAGTCATCAACCCCAACAATAGACACAATTCTGTAATTTCACACGTGGAGTGATCACAAATTCACATTTAGCTCCCTTATTTGTTGGTTACCGTTTTTCTAATAATGACTACAGCTCCAGTTTTTTTCCCCCCAAATATAAACCCTAAACAAAATGTGCTCATTTGCATTTGGAATTTTCAAAATTTTGTCAAGCTGAACTACAAACCTTAAAAAAAAGCAGATAGTTTTAATTTTTTCTTTTTATTTTACATCCGTCTGTGTTTACCAATTTGGAATTCCAGCCAATGAAGAGACATGGAACAAAACCTTTGTATTATAGCCTAGATAGTATAGTATGTTATGAGTTGTTACCATGGAGTTCAGCATGATAGTACCACCACTGTGCCTATGCTTTCAGACAGAGTACTCAGGTGTGATTCTTTCTTCCATTAGAATCATTTTGTATGTAGACCAAAAAGTTTGCTTTTGATCTAATTTTACCAAAGCACCATCTTTTATACGTCTGATGTGTGTTCATAAGCAGCGTTTGAAAAACTGTAAACAAATCCTCTTATGGGTTTCTTCCACATATCGTTTTCCTTCCGCATCAAATGCTAATTTGTGCTTCAATGTTAAATCCAATCCCAATAAAACACACTGAAAGTTGTAAATACTTGTTGTAAATCAAGGGACCTAAACGCACAGATAACAGTAGTGTTTTCTAGATTCCAGGTGTGAAAAATCTTCCTCTAAGAAAATCAATTACAAAATTAGATGTTTCTCTTAATTAAACATTTCTAACCAATCATATATGCTTTGTAAAATATTGTTAACAAGTAGATTGAAATGCATGTTGATCCAGACTTATCAGTCATGGTTCTGCAAGGTAGAATCAGACCCCCAGGCTTTTACTTTGGTATGCAAAACCTGTCATGGCAGAAGCCAGTTACACCAGCAGGCTTGTTTAAATATTGCAGGCTCTTTACTTTGAACATGTAACAGGCTTCTGCCAAGCCCACTGATTTCCTTAAAGACCTTTTCATTTTCAATTAGTTTATTGCCCCCAATTGAAACGAATCACAATGACTCATCCAAACACTATCGTGGTGTAGTGTGTAAAAAGGGAGTTTTGCATTCCATGCAGGGGAAGCTGCTGAACATTGGATTTAGGTGGGGCTCCATCTGCTTTTCTCTTCACCCTAGATTGATAAGCTTTTATAGAAGTGTTCAACTGATGTTAACCAGGCTTTATATATATATATATATATATATATATATATATATATATATATATATATATATATAGTTTATTCTTAGCTTGTACTTTTCCTAAGTTTATTACAGCAGTGTATGTTTAGATGTTTAGGGGACCCGTCTTTCAAGAGTATAATTGCTCAGAAGTATGCGCGCAGTTTGCTGGGTCTCACGCCTGTACCTGTGTGGGGCCCCCAGGGCATGTTGCTCACTCACCAGCAGGGTTGATAAGTTAAGAGCCGACTGTGGATTCCTCATCATGGACTCCAGCTTCTTTAGCCGGCTTTCCACTCTGCTCTCCGCTCCAAGCATGATTGCAGTTGAGTTTCTTCAGTTCAAATGTCATAAAAAAACATGAAGATAAATTAAAAAAGAACAATTGCAGGTCTGACTTTTGTGTTTCCCTTGTACTAGTTGAAGGTGCGCTCCTTTCCTTGGCTCAGCTCCTCAGATCATTGCTCCTCTGTGCAGTGCTTGAGTTGTCAGGTTAATTATTCGTCCACAGAAAAATAAAACCTCCCGACTTCCTTTCTCCTATAAATAAATCACACAGTCAAAGAAAAATAATACAGAACCCCCCTTAAAACGCAAATTAAAAAACGTTGTCAGGGAATTCAGAGACGCGTAAGTTTGTCCCAGAAGCGCCCTATCAGCGCAACAAACCAGGTAGTTGAACAAAACATGTAACACCACAAGGGGGGGTGGGGGGGTCTAACCTGTGAGACGGTAGTCAAGGGTTTAAATACAGCGGTACTATTTCCGGTTAAAGACTAATTTACCAGAGTAAAATTTGAATAACAGTAAAGAAAGAAAGAAAGAAAGAAAGAAAGAAAGAAAGAAAGAAAGAAAGAAAGAAAGAAAGAAAGAAAGAAAGAAAGAAAGAAAGAAAGAAAGAAAGAAAGGATTACTGCAATTGAATCCAACATAATTGGAAAAAAACAAAAAAAAATATATTAGTATTTGTAAATATTAAACACATTTATGAAAAATGTGTAATTTAATTCATTTCAATAAAACGGCTCTCTTAATTCTATCCCCTCCTATTTTAAAATACACAAAATACACCAGACCAAAAAATCTCACCTGCTTAGCCAGGACAAAAACAACCTAACAACTCCCTTTTCAGAGGCATGGGCCAGTGTTGGGTTTTGCAGAATAACAAAGACCTCAACGACTTACCATTACTAAGGCACGGACCTGTTTTTTCGGTTCAATTTGCATGTTTTCTAAGCCACAAAAAGGCTTTTGTTTGGGCCACACTACACGCATCAAACACTATTTCAGACATTTCTAATTTAGAAAAGCTTTCTGGATGGGATGTGAAACATCTTCAGCTTTGGAAAACAATTTCCAGCAGTTCGTTTTTTAAATTTTTTCAGACTTTTTTATACACTGTAGGTGCTCTCTAGGCTGGATGTGCTCTCTTCATCCTCTGAGATGCAAGTTGGCTCGGAGCTCGTCTGCCTGTCTGTGTTTCCTGGACGGGGCTGTCTTTTATAGCTGCTTTTTGTATCTCTGCTTCTGTCCCCTTGAACCCCAGTCGGCCTCGGCAGATGGCCGCTCACACTGAGCCTGGTTCTACTGGAGGTTTCTTCCAGTTAAAAGGGAGTTTTTCCTCTCCACTGTCGCTACAAGCATACTGAGTGTGAGGGATTGCATTTGAGGCAATGAGCAATGCAATCAACTGTTTTTCCTTAGATAGAAAACTTTGACTGTATGATCTGGTGAACTGTAAAGTTCCTTAGGATGACATGTAGTTGTGAATTGGTGCTATATAAATAAACTGAATTGAATAGGTGTCAAACAAAAATGTTGTATTCAAATCTCAAGATGGTTTCTGCATTGAGTTTGTACATTCTCCAGCTGCATACACGGGTTCTCTCCAGGTACTCTTTCTTTAATGTCCTATCACTATCGTCAGGTAAACTAACTACTCTAAACTGCCCTAACGTACAAGTATGATCTTGCAGGTTGTTGTTTTTTTTTATCTTGCCCTCTTTATCCTTTTTTTTTATCTTGCTAATCACCCAAATGGACGGATGAGTAAAGTCCCGAAGAGCCAAAGGCTTTTATTTTGAAAATGTACTTTACATCCTGTTGTCCCTTGAAAATTATTTATGACTTGATGTAATCTTATCTCACATGGTGATTTCCTCTTACAACTTTACATTTCCAAGTTTTTTACCTTTAAAACATTTCCACAGACTTTAAACAAACTGACTACCACAAACAATATAGAAAGTATTTTCTGCGACTATAATTAGCCGGAATACCACATATCTTATCTCATCGACCAATTTTATCTCACAGTACATAGAACAGCTCAGTATTTTAGGAATGTTGACTGTCTGCTATTCAGACTAGTTGATACTAAGAATAGACATTTAGCCTACAGAACAGATCCATTGTGCGTCAGTTCCATGATCTAGTTGCTTTATGGTTTCATAAGACAAATTTAAAGATGACATTGCACATTTAGTAAAGGACCAGGATAAAAGAAAAAAACAAAACAAAACAGCACATCCTTGCTCAGAATAACTTTTATTTGTTTTACTTTACAAATAGATCTGAGTTACATACATATTCAGTACAAAGAAGATGGCAGGATTTTCACCAGACTGAATGGCGACTGCAGATCAGAATATAGGCCAGGCTACAAAGACAGCACATTTCTGGATTGTGTCCAAATTTAAATAATTTAAAAAAAGGAACTACAGGATAATACAAGATGCAACTGCAACTGTTTTGGCATCAGGTTGGGGAAGCGGTTGTTTACAGTGCAGCTGTTTGTTAGAAGTGATGTCACCAAGGACTCACAGAGACTGTTGACAAAGTTTCCTTACTGGAGCTAAGGATGACTTTGTCATTATGGCATGAGGTGGAGGTGCCCTAGGATGGACAGAAAAACAGAAATATACTGCATCTGTTGGCGTGCCTACATATGCACTCAATCTTAGGGTTGAAGGCCACAATGTCTTTGAGGTGATATAACCCGTCTCCATTTTTTTTTTTTTTTTACAACTCCTAAGGAATCTTCCCCAAACATCGACCTATCCTCACATGATTTCAAACAGTATTCCTTGTCTTGGTTTAACGAAACAAAGCTTTACCCTGCCACCATCATACCTTAGGCATGAATGGTGAGTTTGTGGTGACCTGTAGTATATATTCTCTACCAGATTTCTATTTGTAAAAGATTTTAATTTCTTAACTTTTACCCAAAGAATTGGCAGAAAGGTCAGTGTCTACCAAACAAGGTTGATAAACATAACCCCAAAAGCACCTTAGAGCAGCAATTTGGAAAAAGGTGGTTATTTCCCCCCCCAATCATATACAAGACTCACTAAGTAGACTAGTGGTTGTACCATGATATTGTGGTAAAGTTAAAAGTGAGTGAATTGTCCATTGTACCTTATCAGAAAGCATTGAAAGGGTGCTGATGGCAGTATTAGGTACTGAAGAGAAAAAAAATTGCAAACTGTATGTATTTGGCATTGGGTATTAGTAAAATAGCAATAATTTCTACAGACTGCAAAAGGGACTCTAGGTACCCTTGTGCAAGGTAAAAAAAAAAAAAAAAAAGGCAAACACTGCCCTCTACTGGGGGTTCATCAACATAATAACATTAAAGTACACAACAGGGTTTCAGGCACATAATATATTCAAATAAAAATACAAATACAGAAAAAATGCATTTAATAAAAAGTTACTTATGCATCTTCTATAACTTAATATAAAATCAAATTGTACCTGTGCAGAGTACAACTACAAAATGAAGTGTTGACAAGCCTCAAAGTGATCTGTTTGAATCAATGAGTCCCCAACTGCGGCAACTATAATACTGATCACTGTTTGCTACAGCATTTGATGCTTTGGAGTGTAATACCTCAACTGGTAATATTAAAAGGCTGATCTTTCTTTACAAAATTTTCAGATAAGAGCAAAATATTGGAATCGGTTACCCTGTCAGGAGACATCAAGTATGCATGGCACTCAGTGCTACAAGTCGTTCTGAAACTGTAGATAAGGAAAGGAAATAGGGACCAATGTGTACCAGCATCATTATGATGATCCAGAATCAAAGACTATCAAAGCTACTGTGCACTGGTAAGTGCATCCCCATACATTGGGTTTAGTTTATGTTTCCTCAGGAATTCTTTATCCCAACTCTCGGACCATTTGGAGAAACTTGCTCAAGTTTTCACCTCAGCAGATTTCTCTCATTTTTTTCAGAAGAAGCAAACAGGCTGGCAAATCTTAAAATCTCAGAACTGAGAGAGTTTAGCAGGTCTTGTATTTATATTGGGTGGATAGACGAAAAAGAAAAGGCTATACTATATTCCTGGCTTTTACTCAAAAAAAATAGAAAGAAAAAAAAAAACCCGCTCCTGAAGTTTGAGCCACGATCGACCAGGTAACTCAAAACCTGGAGTGGGGAGTCAGCGTGGGATATGAGGAGAGAAACAATGTGGCTCTTTGTGCAAGCGGGGCAGAGAAAACAAACCGTTTCCCCTGGAAAGAGATCATGTTCAGCCTTCATCTGAGAAGACCACACAAGGCTGATCAGAGTGCTGTCTGCTGCGTGGAGTAAAGAGAGTAGGAGGAGGAGCGCATCTGGGTAGTCAAACTAACTTGTGCACATATAAACGCTTGAGGGCAATGTCAGACAGGATGAAGATCCCTTTCAAGCTTTCAGTCAGCTCGATGCAACACGCAAGCCTGTGATACATTTTGGTCCAAGGAAAAAAAAAATATGTGTGACTAAGTTGTGTGTTCTTCCACGTTGTTGACTTGTGATGTCTTGGCCATCTGGACAGCTTCCTGGGTTTGCACCCTGCTGGTCTGGCGGGCAGAGGGAGAGGCTGGCAGGCAGGACTGCTAGCTCTGGTGTTGTCCACTTGATGGCATGGTACTTGACATGGCACTGCTGGACAAAGTCAAATAGGGAGTCTGAGGTGATGGAGGTCCAAAAAACAGGAGAAAGAGAAAAAGAGCAGAGATATGTTAAATTTCATTTCTACCATATGTATCTTCCAACAAGATCACAACTCTGGACACTCCTTCCTATTATACCCATTCCACATAAACACTTCGAATGAGGCTTTTAGTCATGTCAATGCTGTTGCATCAGGTACAATCAAACCAAAAACATCTGGCCTCTTTTCTCTTTCAGACACTTTAATTCAAGCACATATATTAAAGTCAAACACACATATACATGTACGGACCAAACCTGGGCTCTGTACTCCCTCTGTCTCATGCGTTTTAGTTTCAAACACTCAGTAAATACCCATGTGGTGGGATCAGGTTACACGGAGCTATAAAATATCCCAAATAAAGGCAAGGCAAAATGAGATGAAAAGTGGGGGAAAAATGGCTTTCTGGTGAAGTGAAATCCTCCAGTTGGCTGCTGACTTATGTCAGAGTGGGTGTTTGTTTAAAAATACCTTTTACAGTTGGGACAATGAAGGGGGACAGCAGTGTTTATCTGAGAGGACAGAGGTGGCAACCTTAAGTCATCCACAAACCATAGCCAATACATTAAAAAAAGACATGATTTTTTTTGGATTATATAAGGCAGAATATTGATATTTCAAATATACTAGTTAGCATTAAATGCCTTATCAAAGTATTTAAATGCTATTAAGTTTTTCAAATTTACTCGCATTATAGCCATACACTTTATTCAATTTTATTTATTGGACAGAAATTAAGAAGTGTATGACTGTAAAATGGGAGGGAAATAATTCAAATAATTTAATTTCTTGTAGGATTTGCACCCATCTTCTCTTCAACACTGACTAGCTTCCTTTTTTCTGCTGAAAGCGAGCCCATCCACACCATGATACTGTCACCGCCATGCATCAGCATCAGCAATTTCCCTCCCCATAAGCAGTTTCATATTAAGGCCAAAAAAGTAGCCAGTTTCCAGCACATGCTGCTTCTACCACCATGTTTTATGATAATTGTCTTGATGAGATATTGCTAAATTTATACCATAATGGTATTTTGAAGGAAAAAAGGTAAAAACACACTATTTTTATGTTAAAACTTATATGCAACTTTAAGTTGGTCTTCCATAGTTTTTGAAGGATGTTATTAGGTGTCTATCTGATTTTGCTTAAAGTAAAAGTCCCATTAAAATCTGTGCTCTAGGAATATATCCAATAGAGTTTAAACATTTGTAGAGGATAACTAGATTGATAGACTACGTGCTTCGTCAAGCCAGAAGATCTGTTGCACTAGGCTGGAGTAGCATGGAAGCCCCCTCCATGGGACTCTGGAGAAAAGAAGTTGCAAGCTCACCCGGACTGGAAAAACTAAGATACATTGCCAAGGGCAAACAATAAGACTTTGAGAATCTATGGGAGCCATATATGAGGATTGTAGGGACTGAAAGTGGAGCTTATTGATGGGAGTTTTGAATGGATGTCTTGACTACAGCTTTTATTCATATATTGCTCCTTTTTTCATGTCTCTGCCTTAATCTAAAGGGCTTTGTATATTTTTGGAACTAGACAAATGCAGGTTTAAATGGTGAATGCATGAGTGAATGTAAGTAAATGTTAAAAGGTTAAGTTTGTTGTCTGTAAGTTTTGTTGTATCAAAAGAGAAAAAAATTCAATAGAATATATTGGAGAAAAAAGTTGGTCTTCCGCATAAAATCTCAATAAAGTACAATTAAATTAATAGTTGTAAAGAGAATGAATGTCTTGCAAGGCAATTTTTTAGAAACTTAGTGGAATAATGCTGCCACACAGTCATTTAAAACCTGTGCTCCTAGATTCATGTTGTTCTTTCTCTATTTAGCAGCTGTCACATTCAAACACAATCACTAACATGACCCCTGGCCTTTGGAAAATAATATGAGGAGAAAAACAGGCAGGTTGAAATCGAAGCCATCTCTGTGATATCAGTGGATTAATCTCGGCACATACAGTAAACCAGAAACATGATCTTGTTATGCTGAGATACAGGCGGGTAAGGATAATGGGTAGAGTTACAGCTATTTGGACAAGCGAGTGAAATCAAGATGACCCTTTGATTGGTTCAAAGTAGGAACACTCCCCTGCCAAATTCTAACGAAACAATGTCTTTTGGGGAAAAACATTGAGAGATGATGCAGAAACTATATTAAAAACCAAGAGTAGGGCACAAATATACTGTATACATGGGAAAATATAAAACATGGCCAGACAGCCATGGTATGCAAATACTGAGGCCTCTACATCAGTCTCTGTTCTTTCTAAAGAAGCATTTAGCTCTATCACAACTGATATTCCCAGCACCTCACAGCCTCCCACCACAGCCTATAGAGAGGCCTCATAAAAATCTTTATACCAATTTGAAGTTCACACTTAAAGGAGTAGTTCAGGAGGTAGTAGAATCAGCCAGACAGCTAAAGCAAGTTGTCTGAACAAAGATCAGAATTAATCATAGACGCTCTAGAAAACTCTTATATTGAAGATGACACAATTATTTTTTTTCAAATGCTATTTTATACCCTTTAAACTGTCTCTTTGCATTGAAGAGTTATTCATACTGAGATCAGTGATTATTTAAATGGAAACTAGGGGTATAAGGCAATGCTCCATTCAAGATTTTCCTGTGCAAAACATATATTTTAAGAATGAAACATCTAAAGCTGTTCAATAAACTTTTAAGTTAGTGGTGTAGTAAAAAGGTTATAAAGGTAAATAAACAGTTTAAAGTTTAATAAAAGTGTATTCACACAAAACTGTTTGATGTTTCTTGAGCTGCTTCAAAATAGCGGAAGCCTATCATTGTTTTAATTTCTGTCAAACTATTAGCTTAAGTCTCCAAAATACCACCGATAAATTTGTGCTAAATAAAGATGCTAAGACCTCTAACACCTTTTAATAGAACATCACTTCGAATTCCCTCTGAACTGAAGGTTATTTCTGAAAAAGTTTTAAAAACTGTTTTGTATAAGCAGTTACAATGAATTAAAAATGTTTTGTTGCATAAAGTTGCGAAATGCTCCTGATTAAGGCATACCCTTGTTTGATTAAAGCCAAAATGTTTTCTCATTATCTTCAATAGTCATATCCTCAAGCAAAAGCAAATCTATGATGCAGGCAGCCTTGCAAACACAGCATTGTGGCTGTCAGGCTGTGGTGAAGTGATCACCTTTCAAAGTCACTCTCACTGCTTGTGCCCTCCACCTCCTCTATCTGCTGTAACCTTAGCCCACAGAAAGGTGCCAGGTTACCGGGATTCTCTCTGGTTGGCGCCATACTGTTTAGTGACCATGTGCACAATATGAGAGCTGTGATTAATCCTGCCCTATGTTTGTGCGAATCTGCAAATGCAAATACATTTTTGCACAACTCAGCGATATATGTTTTAGAATAACAATGTTTGTTTTTCTTTTACTAATCATGCTTGTGAATTTAAATTAGCCTATAAGAGATGCAATAATTATTTGGCCATTGATTGGAATTCAGCGTTTTTTCGTACCTGGCTCTGAGCTGTTACAACAGGTCAATTACTGAAAAATCTATTTTTATTTTCTATTCTTTAAGTTGATTTGAACTAGTAATTCCTTTCATATTTAGTTTTGATATGCATCAGCTAAGAGCTTGTAGTTTGTGTTTAAAGAAACTGATAAAGGTTAGTAAAGGTTAACATGGTCACGGAGTGATGCACAAATAGGGACAAAAACGCTTTTTCTTTTGTATTCAAACTACTTCTAAAAAAATGCACAATTTTATTTTATTTTTATTGTGTTAGAAACCTTAAAAATAAGTTCAAAAATTTAAAATTTTCTGGCAACATGTAAGGCAACACCTGTTTATCAGTAAGTGCCAATAAATTGAAGCTAGAAAATACTACAAATTTATTAAGAGACAGTTTAGGGTAACACTAGGCAACAAGGTAACAATGCCCTTTGTCATATTCCAGCAGAAATACTCACCTCTCTTCTCTATTTATTCTGATCTCGGATCCTAAGGCATCGCCTCTTCAGGGCTGGCTCCATCTCCACTGCGGTGGGCATATTAGCAGGACTCCGCAAGCTAACTTTGTCCCTGAGCTTGGGTAAGAGTAATGGGGGTGTGGTCCCACCTGTCTTTGGTACTGTGGGAAGGGCATAAGCGTGGTCCTCATCTGGAACATGGGAATCCTCCCCTACTCCCCCACTTACTGTCAAGGGTCCTTCTAACTGAACAACTGGACTTTCAACCAGCACTCTGCTTACAACAGAACACTTGTTTTCTTTGATAGCTTCAAGTTCACTAAGTGCAGGATCCTGGATTGTTGCTGGTAACTTCTGGGGTACTGAGGTGTCCAAACTTGACGGTTTAGGGGAGGATGATGTACCATTTTGGGGATGGTCCTGGGTAGAGGACTTGGTATTATGTGAATGGCTGCTCTCCATGGGGCTAGATGGACTGTTTGAAGGAGGAGTAAGGGGATCGGGTGTTGGGAAGTCATCAGAAGGTGACTGTGAAAGATTAAGGTTTGGTCTGATGATATTATGGAAGCCTGATCTGTTAAACTGACTAGGTCCAGACTCTACCAGTGCTGTGGGATCCACCATTCCATTGGCATTAGGCTCTAACTTCACTTGGGTCCTCTGGAGAACCCTTTGAATGACTTGGCGCTCTGTCTGCTGATGTATGTTTTTATAGTCTATCAGTCTCTCAGAGGTTTTGGTTGGGCAGGGTAATTCAGTACATTGTGATTTGGGGGAGGGTGTTTTGGTTTGTGGTGTTGTTAACGGAGACAAAAACTGCCTTTCTGATTTAACCCAATCTATGTCCTTTGGGCTGGGTTCAGTTGGTGAGGTCATGCTTTGGGAAATGTTCGCCTCTATTTGTTTTCCCTCCACTCTGCTTACATCTTCAGAGATTTCAGGAGATGCAGACTTAGTAGTCCTAGATCTACCCCTATCTACACCTTCTGGCACAGGTTGGATAACTCCACCATGATTTGGCATTTCAACAGCGGCTTTAGGAGGGACTGGAATGGGAATTGGAATAGGTATGGGGACAGGTAATGGAACAATAATAGGATAAGGCACCAGGACAGTGGGATGGGGTAAAAGAGGACTAAAAGAGGGGATACCATAGTTCATTATTGGAGGGACTGGGACAGGTCCTCTTGGCATGAAGTTTAGAGGAGGTGAGTGTAATCCAGGGAAATAGGCTCCAGGGAACTGATGCACAAATCCTGGGGGATTCATTGAAGAAGAGGTAGGGGGCTGCAGAAGAGGAGAATGTGGGGGTCTGTGAATAGGACTGGAAGGGGGACCAACATGTCTGGGGGGATTGGCAAGGGGACTTTTTAGTCCCTGAGCATGAAGAGGGGGTCTGATGAAGGGAATAGGGAGTTGAGGTAATGGCTTTTGATCCAGAGAGGGACGAAGAGGAGGTGGAGGAGGAATAGGAGATGGATGAGATGGCACATCCATAGTAGGTAGGGATGGCTGAATGGATCTCTCCATGTTCTTAAGCCCTGAAACTGTGACCTTTAAAGATGATGAAGAAGGTGATGGTACATCTGAGGATGACACAGATGTAGACTCCAATGGTCCATGGATAAGCGCCGGCCCTTTGGGTGAGAGGTTTTGATTACGTGCTTCCCCTGTAGTGCTGGTGCTGCTGTTCCAGGACTCAGGAGTAAGTAGGTTTTGAGCTGATATGCTGCTGTCTACTCTCACATCCTGGCTGGTTCTGTTTGGACTGGAACTAGTGCTGGTGAGAGCTGCGCGGGCTTCTCGATAGAAAACATCCATCTTGTACTGGTTGAGACATTTGATGCTGCAAAACTGAAGACGCTCCTCACCAGATCCAAAGTCCAGGTACTCTTTTGTGTGGCGAACATGTTTGCACCAGTCACAGACCTGTGGTACAGGTGAGAGAGACTACGGGGGGTCAATTAAATATTTTGCCTTGAACATTTAAAAACTTTCAGAGCAAAGGATGTAGCTGCATTTCCGTTTTTTTTTTTTTTTTTTCCTGCATGTCACACAGAATACCTATCAATAATTTGCAATTAATATTAAAGAAAGCACTAATAATTTCCCCTTACTCTGACATTAGTGTTTATCTTCAACACTAATCTGGGTGAGTCCTCTGGATGGGGGTGCTGAGGGGATGTCTCAACATGGAGGTCTTCATCCCTGGCCTGACGAGGAGAAACAAAGGACATGAAATTCCACTGGAAATAATTATGATCACATTTGCAAAGGCTGCACAGTAATCACTCTAAGGTCAAAACACCATATTTAAGCTTCTTACATCCCCTCTTTATGAAGCTGCAATAGGTTTGTGCATAGGACCACAATACAAAGGTCATTTAAAGAGTAACAGTGTCATTCTATTATGCTGGTACATATTCCAGACAATGTATCGTTTTATTTTTCATGCGTGTGACTGTATCGATATAAGGAAATTCCTCCTGATTCATGTAAGGTGATCTACCGAGGATCTGAGTGCTCCCCCATCTCTGTGACCCAAAGAGTCGTGTTGAGTTACGAAACATGAGGCAGCTGAAGGTAAGGTATGCACTGAAAGTGGACACCTCGCCCCAGGCCTTCTGGCCTTCCTCTCAGACAAGCAGCAACACGCCAACAGAAATGCTGTCCTCCCTTGCCTCAAAAAAACAACAAAAAACTAAACAGCTTGGTGTAATGACTCGCCTTACGCTGTTTATTGGTTTTGTCAAAAAACACTGGAGATGAAACATTATGCATTGATAACTCATTCTCCAATTTAATCTCTTAAGAAAAGGGGAAAAGTGTCTATGTGCAACAGGGTTCTCTATAGTTCCAGCTCTCTTGTCCTCAGGACCAAAAACACTTAATGACCAGCCCCTTCTGTTTTAACTTGAAACTGATACGAAGTCTCCTGTACAAAGTTTGACCTCCCTCCAACCAGTCCTCAAAAGGATCCTTTAAAATGAACTATTCACTTAGGACTTCTAAAGATCAGATAGATCTGTTGCAGAAAGTCTGTGATCTGCAAGAACTTATCCAATACTTAATATCCCTGTCCATTTATGCTATGGTACGTATAAAAGATTGTCTGTGACAGCGCTATACATTCATTCATCAGCATGTAGATCTACAGGTTCTTTATGTTCAATACTAACCTTGTTGCGCTTGAAGTAAGCCCGTCTGCAAGCAGCAAAACACTTCTCACTGCAGAAGCTCTTTAGCTCTGAGCCCATACACAGTGAGTAGCGCTTTACCCCCTCCTTCTGGCACCAAACACATACTATTTGCACATTCTGTACATCTTCCACTGCAGAGAGAGAGGAAAAAAAAGGAGGGTAATCATTGCTTAAACTTTGCAAATATATGTGTGCACACTTTAGTGCAAAAACTGTATCCACTGCCATAATTCTGCACAGACAGAAGTATAAAAACTGTTTCATTTCCTCAGAGCCTATTGAAAATCTAAATATGTTAGACATGGAGGAGAATCACAGATCATTTACTTAGAACTGGATGTGCTCCAAGGTTTCTGGAGATGTATCCAGCAATGAATTAATTGAAGGTGTCTCTGGCTTGTATTTTATCAAGAGTCCAGGGATCCTGTTACATCTGTGCTTCACCTAATTGTCAGCTGGGATTTATGCAGGTTTGGTGCAGTGAGGAACCACATGGACAGTGATATTATGTTTTGACTAAACTATCTAGCAATCAATGATGAATTCTGACTGTCAGCTTTAACTGAGGTAATTTTCATCAATGTAAGGTGAATACTATAACTCATGTATCCAAAGAATTGGAAAGAGCATATACTCATCTGAGATTCTCCCTCATAGATCTTTTCAGGTTAAAACCAAGGTTTTGGATCATAGATGCCTTTAACAGGGACATTATGAGTCACAAGAATTCATAGGGTTTTCAGATCTTTAAATGTGATAAAATACAACAACTATCAGTTTAATAATCTCTGAATTTAATGTTATTAATCTGCTTTTATGGTAAAATTTATATTGCTTTAACTAAAATAGAAAATTGCTTCTAATATCTGATACCAAGAAATGGACAAAGAAATTCTCATGACTAGTTATTGAAAAGTCTGAAAATAAAAAGTCAAATCTTTTTTAAATTAGTGAAGGCAACATATTTACTAAGTGCTACCAGGTGATGCTTAAAACAAAACACTAAACATGGAAGGTTCTACTATAGGAAAATACCCAAATTAACTATTTCTTGTAGTAAGAGGTATTTAAAATTAAGAGGAAATACAGAGATGTAAAAATCTCTATAAAAGGAAACTTTTCGTCATATTCAGTGGCTTTGGGCTGTAATTTTATTGTTTTGGTTCTGAATTTTTAAGTAAAAAAGGGTAATCTTCTGCAATTCAATCCTGCTTTCTTGCATGAAATTTGATTGAATTAGACAATAAACAGTGTGGGAATCCACCACAATAGATTGGAGACTGAGTTATAGCAAAGCTGTTTTGTTTTATTATTTTGAGCTGCTGTAAGTCAACATAGCAGATTTTCATCAGGAAGATGACAGCCCTTAAGATAAAAAGTAAACACAATTAAAACAAGAAAAAAATAAGACATGTTGTACATAAATTGTATTTTAACCACCAAATATTAACTTATGTTTCTCTGACTTTAATTGTATTGCCCAGTTGTTTTGCATATTTATACAATATAAACAATATATTGCTACAAGTGATAAAGACTCTTATAAATGCAGAAGTGACTTCTGGTGAATCCACTGAGACACTGACTTCTAACCAGAATTGGAAACCTTCCTTGTCTTTACCACGTAGCTGGAAACTCAGAATTCTGTCCTATTTAAAATAGTACATGCACCATGCTTAATCACTAATAGTTTGCACCAATATGGATACCCTCCCAAGTGGCATTATTTTCTGAAGGAAATAAACGAAAAAATAAGAAGTGTTTCAAAAGAGGCAAGAGGATGTACTCTTAGGATCAACATAGAACATAACTATATTTCCTTCAAATGCAGCTCATTAATTTATTCCATCCTCTGCGTAGAACAGAAAGGCAGACTTTGATCTGTGCTTCTTAAAATTTGTATTTTTCTATTTCAATTTTGCTTATTGTTTTCTTATTTTTGTTTCTTCTTTGGTTTTGGTTTCTTATCAACATTTTTTGTTTTTGGTTTTCCAGCTCAAGGAGCCGTCTGTCACCGGATGTCCACTCCTACCTGGGGACATTTTGTTGAATAAGTAAAAGGCAACATTAAGAAATTATTTTGTTGTTTCTTTCAACTTTCCACTTTAGTCTGTAATTGGAACAGGATGGATTCAGAAATCATGGAAGACTTTTGGATATCTGAGAATTAAGGTAAAGGTTGCAATTCTTTACAGGGATTTCACACAGAAACTGTTGTTTATTGTTAATAATGCTAACCAGGTTAATCATGCTAAATTCTTACATTAGATAAAGTATTAAAGTAATATTTTAAAATATAAATCAAAATATTTTTTCTTGATGAAATCCTCTTTCAGAGCGAATGCTTTGTCACACATGTAGGAAGTGAAAAATACGGTAATCCACAAATCCTCATATTGCTATAATTTTTTACAAAGCATGAAAGGCATTTTTTTTATTAGTGCATTTAAATCCTTACTCATGGTTTTGTTGGTATTTCACTAAAAATATCCCATTTGGTGTTAAGGAGCTTACACCCAGTGATAAGCAGCGTGTAACTGAAGGATAAACACACATGTCATGTAACTGCAGCAGCTCCTTACTTTCTCCAGAGCTTCAGTTACTTCTCAGCAATGAACTGAAACTCATACCTGTTCCATCGCCTACAGATGATCTTACACTCTGGCCTTTCAGCACATAAAGTAAAGATCATGGATTATCAGCTCTGGTGTGCTATGCTTGTAAACCAAAGACATATTTTAATGTGAAGGATTAACAGGGCACATTAGGTTCTTGAATCCTGCAGAAGACCTTTCATACCTGCTGATGGCTTTATGAGAGGGACGATGACAGGGGCATTCTTGTGCTCCTTCGGGGTGGTCAGGATAGAGCATGTTGAAGAAGAGGATTGTGAGGAGGAAGGGATGCTGGAGGGGTCCCTCTCTACACTTTTCATGGCCAAGACTGAGTGGCTGACTTTGGCGTCCAGGCTTTTGGGTTTTGGCAATGAGTTTTCTGTAAGATAGACAGAAAGCTAAGGAATGCAACAGTAATCTGGCTTTGTAAGATAATATATCAACATGAAACCACACTAATGCTTTATGCGACACAATAATAAGTTCTGAGCGAACAACAGGCACATCTGGTTTAATGTAACTTGAGGACATGCAGCCACAGGAGATGATGTCTTGCAGTGACTCAAGGTCTGCATTAAAACCTGCTAAACCTGTTAGCGTAGTGCTGCTCTAAACAGTGACCTGTCGCCACCTGCCCCCCCTTACCTTTTAGCACAGACACATGCTGTCGCCTCTCCCTGTAGTTTCTGATCTCATTGGCCTCAGACTCTCGGAGGTCCACCTTGTCATAGCCGTACCAACCCAGGAGCTCATTCATGGTGCTCTCTGCAAATGTCTGCCAGAAATGAAAAGTAACAGGAGTTAGAATTCCAAGTAATGTCAAGTCAAGGAATAGGAAATTGTGAATATGCATCTTGGGGTTATTACTGGAAGTTTTCATCCTATGGTAAACATAATCAGAGCTACTCAGTCTGAGAAAGAGAGGGATTCTTTCTCAGTCCTGGTCCTGTTGGGAGAAATGAATAGGGGCATAGTGGAGTACAGTGTGACTCTTTTTCCATGATGTATTCAAGCTGTTTAGCTTTGCTTAATCTGAGACGGAAAGGTTTATAACCCAACACCAGTGTGAAATCTATGAATCATCCTTTGTTTATTTCTTTTATTAAAACAAGAGACAGGAATATTGTCCTGCAAAAATTAGACGTGTGATCTCAGCTTTTTTCTTTATTATTGTGAACAGATGAAAAAATATTGGTTAAAAAAAAAAGACATACAGGTCTCAGTTTTTATCCACCCACCTCTCTCTGTGGCTTTAGCGGAGCCGGATTGGAGAAGAAACCCGATCCGGAACTGGCAGAAATCAGGGCGGGACACCCAACACCACATTGAGGTCCCACGGTTCTCGGAAATGCTCCTCTCCTCTTCTCTTTCTAATTTCCACAACTCCACCTCTCCTACTCCAGCGATTCGCTACCTCTCATTTTGCCTCTTTTCATTTTTTCTTCCTCCCATCATTCGCCCCTGCCCTGTCCTCCCCTCTACATCCCGGCACCTTCCAGGCCTGACACTCGACACGGTGCTGCCTCTCGGGTTTCAGACCCTTTTCCAGCTCAGCCAGTATGCTGTGGTGTTGCAGCGCTTGTAGTACTGACTGCACATTCTTTCCTCGCTCCGACCTCTGCTCCGCAACCCGGGGCCTCCAACAGAAATGGATCTCTCCCTATTTGCCTGCTCACTTTCTAGCTCTGTCTGTTCTGGGAGTGTGTCTGTATGAGTGGGTGAGTGAGTAGAAGCGGCCGTATCACATACCGCTAAATATGCCTAACGATGATTAAAGTCAAGGATCCAATGTCTGGTGCCTGCGAATCAGGCTCTGACGTGGAGGGAGTGGGGTCCGAATGTGGTGTTGAAACAGATGAATTACAAAGAAAACATTGGGAGAGACCTCAGTTGAACTAGAAATCAGTTTCTCTAACTGTTCAAATATATATATATATATACATATATATATATATATATATATATGTAGTGGTGTCACTTTCACTTTTTTTCTTGTATTGAAAACAGAGTTTTCTTTTTCCCCTCCTTCAACTTCCCACAATGTTGTTTTTGTTTCTTTTTGGCAGTTTGGACAAACATCTGCTTTGTGAGAGTGACAAGCCATATCCCAAACCAGAGAGAGAGAGAAAGCTGCAAGCCAAAGGCAACAAACTGGGCCAACCCAGAGATCCAGCCCAGGCAGGCTTACATCAGACTGAGAGGGATACTGTTTCAAGTGTTTTGATTAAAATTAGTTAAGATGTAACAATACACCTTCTGTGGATATCAAACGCTGCAATCCAAACCACTTACGCACAAAAACAGCAGGATTTCTCTCTAAAGAAGGCCACTTCCTGCCCTAGGAAGACGTCTTGCCTTTTTAGATTTTCTTGCACAGGCATCAAGGATCCTCAAATATCATTTTAAAAGCACAGTCAAGAGTCTCAAATAGCCAGAGTCCAAACCCAAACAAAGCACACAATCCTGGGATTGGTTTCCATGCAAAGGGCTCATAATGATGGGAGGGAATCGTGTCTGTTACTGTGATTTAACCAAGGACCCTGATGAGAGATTCCTAACGCCTTGTGTATGTGTGGGTGTGTTTGAGGTGCGGGTCACCATGCATGTTTGCATCATTACAATTGTACGACAGCTCTAAAGAGTTTTCCCATTAAAAGGCTGTAGAAGGCTATTTAAGGAGCACGTCTGCCCTCCCCTCTCTCCCCGTCTTTCTCATGAGTCTCTGTGGTGCAGCGATTGAGCGCACCGCAGGGAGCGAGGAAGAAGTGACGCACATCTGGATCTCCTCTGGACATTGGGGAGGACGCGTCCGGCCACAGCTGGCCCACCATAGCGTCACTAGACCAAGTGTCAGCTTATTCCTTTCTTTTAAAACTAATATATTTTACAATGCTAATATATTTAACAAGAATATATAAAGTTTATTTAAAGTAGGGGTTTTATTTTTGTTAAACATTATATTTACGTTACACATATATAACCCAAGTAGAACTTAAAATTAGCAAAATTTGAGAAATTATCTGATGATTTTGTACTTTCAATAAAATAAAAAATAAGAGTGAGCGGTCTGTGTCTAGATTATTCCAAACATTGATTTGTGCGCACTTTGCGCACCGTGTGCGTAAAAGACGATGCCAGACTTTTCACTCATTCCTACCTTCATCTCCTGGTTAATCTCCCTCTTTACTGGGTGCGCTGGTTTCCTGCTGCGTTTATTTTCTGGAGGTCTGCCTTTCTCCATCTCGGGCATACTGTAGTACCGCTCTGGTTGGATCCAACCCGGATCTGTGACTCGCCTGTCAGCTAAGTGGGAAGTTTTAGTCGCAGAGTCAGAGGTGGAATCCGTCAGTCCAGGTGACAGTGGCTGTCATTCCCCGGACGTCTGCCTTTCTTGTATAGAGCTCCTCTCCATACGAGTCGCACTGAACATGCGTGTGTAGTCCCCTCTTTGGAGGCTCCGCCGTTTAACAAGCCCCTCTCCTCTCTCCACAGCTATCAAGCTGCAACTGATGCACAACACGCACCTTCCTGTTAAAACTTTCAAAATAGACTACTTACGAGAACGACAGGTGAATGCAGTGCACTAAAACGAAAGACTGAAGTTGTATTTTTGTGTCTTTTGAAGAACAAATGTATCATATTTTATTTAGATCTCATTATATTATATTTTAGGGTATTTGATATTTAAATACAGAGAACATGCTGCATAAAAACCGATTTAAACTATAGTTTAAGTATTTTAAGTCTAAGATTCAATGTTCTATTTCATTGGGATTTACAAAAACAATGTTAATTTCTCATTTTTGATAAAGCTGTGCATCCTTTTGAAGTGGAATGAGATCATGAACAGTTTTCAATTTGATTGCAAATAAATGTGTCTAAAAATTGTGGTTTGCATTTGCTTTCTTATCTCCAGGATAGTTTTACCTGGTGCAGAATTTAGCTGCACCTTTTAATTAACCAGAGCATGCTGATAATTCATTCATAATTCCAGTTCATTTAAGGGCTCAATAGAAGAATCTTTTATTTGTGCCTAAATATCAAGACAATTTTCCGTCTCCCTATTTGACCATTTCCAATTACATTACCCTTCTGACAATGCAGGTCAATGAAAGCTTCTTTTGAATGTGCCTATGATATGGAGAAGAAGAGAATAGACCTTTTCCTTAGCAGCAGCAAGACATTTTGAAATTACTGCCAGTTCACAGACTGACCGGTTAATTTTGTTTTTGAAAACTGACAGCAAAACTTATCTTTTGTCAATTCCGATTAAGCATGAGAGAGCTGTAATTCTTATTTGTTCAGCTTATTAATCATCTGTGGTGGTATGAAAGCTTTAATAAAAAGAAGTTAACATGGCTTCACTTGGCTCCCTGAGTCAATACTAACAGCTGCATGTCTTTTATGTACTTCAGTCTAACTCATCCGTTTTCAAGTCTTGTCACATGTTCCCAGTCAGATTAAGGCCTAAATATATGCGTGTTCATTGCAATAAATTATAAACATCAATCTGAACCATTCCACTGTAGCTTATGTCAAGGTGTCATCCTGCCAAAAAGGTAAACCTCTGTCCTGGTCTTTTGCAATCTCTAAAACATTTTTCTTCTGGATTTTCATAGATCTTTTACTAAACATGGATGATCACTGGTATCCCAGCTGAAGAAAAGCATTGTTACAGTATGATGCTGTCATGGTTGGGTCGCTATGTTGATGATTAGACACAGGGTGATAATTTTCCAGCACTGAAAGTGTTTGGCTCATAGGCCCAAATCATCAGAAAAAAAAGTATTTCACATTTTTGTTGTCTGATCTAAAAGGCACACTGCAAATATGACTGTTTTCAACAGATCTGTGCAGTGTATAACAAATAGTTGTTTGGCTTGGATTCGAGAAATGGTTATCTGCAGCTCAGCTGCCTTTCTAACTAATGCAACCTTGCTCAGCCTGTCAGTTCTTTTAAATATAGCCTGGAATATTATGCTAACTTTCATTCATCCTTTAAACTTCTCCACAACTATATCACTGACCTGTCTGGTATATCTCTTTTCACTGATGTTCTCTAACAAACCTCAGAAGCTTTTGGAAAATAAAGATTTATACTAAGATTAAATAATACAAAGGCGAATGGGTTTGCTAGATATGTTAACTATAAATGCACCTGGGATTTGATTTGTTTAGGGGGTACCACAATAAACAATAAGAAAAACATACAGTGTATAAATAAATAAGGTATATAGTGTTTTTAAATTGTAAAATAATGCAAGGTATGGTGTTTTTGTTGTTGGGCTACTGAGATAACTCAAGACTTCAGAGTTTGCTATATTATCTACTCTTTTTCATAATATAAGAATAATCTTCGGATTTTGTTTAATAAAAGAAACAAAAGAAAATGAAAAGAAAAAAACATCCATAATTAAAGGTTTTCTTTTTGATGAACTGCGTAAAATCTTCTTTTAAAATGACATGATAAAAGAATTTGTTTCTTAAAAACCTTTATTTCTGGCTCTACAGTTGAATACAATAGGTTACTGATGAGATATGAGGTAAGGCATCTTTTTACCATCTCAAAAAGCATTAAAAGGCTTTTTGCTCTCCTTGATCTCCGGGTTTTCAATGCAGAGACAGTTACTACATTTTTTATTATATTGTTTCTTCATTTGTTTGACACCTGCATGTAAACATGCATTGATAACTAGCAAAGATAGGTGCCTCTCACCAACATGCCTAACCCACCCGCTGCTTTTATTATGAAAGGTGGCTCATTTGACTGCCGGCTCCATCAGTCCATGGCCCTCTGATTTGATGTAACCCAACACCTGGCGCCCACCCCTCCTAAATCTCAACAGATACATTTCATAAGGAATGCAAAGACTGTGTTTTATCTGAGGGGACACAGTGCAAACACTGTCTGTCTGAACGCTCTTGTCTTAAAATAAAGAGATGAAAAGGGGCCTGTGAGTTAAATGATATCCATGGCACAGGGTTCGGAGCTTTCTCAGATGGCATTTGTTTGATCAGGGCTATGTGTGTTGAACCAGTGTGTGCACACTACACTAAACACATCTGAAAGGTCCACAACTGGCTCAAGTCAAGCAGCCTTGAGGACACATGCCTCAGGCCAGAGCTTAAACAGCCAGGAAGGTGTGTTCCCCTGTCTCTGTGTGCAAACTGAGGCTTTCAGCATAAACATTACTTGTTCGGTTATTCTTAAAGCAAGGCCAGTGAATTTATTACTGTATCATGTTTAAACACAGCTGATGACACTCAAGGGACATTTCAATGGGTTAGAAAAGTTCAACTGTTACACCAAAAGCCCTCATCTTGCAATACTTCCAGCAGATCGCTAAACCTCATGCACAGAAACAGACAGGTAAACAATTGCAGGACAGCAATCCCTTTTTCTCCCTGCCTCTCTCCTGCCTCTCTGTGTCTGCTGTGCTTGGAGAAGTCCAGAGACCACGCTCGTATAAACAGAAACCTGATCCACTGCTGAGGGCTTCGGTTTCGCCCCCTCGTAGACCCACTGGTGATACTTGATCCAACCCGGCTTTGGGAACAGGGCTTATCTGATGCCTCACAAAAGGCCCCTCTCTCCAAGCTCTCCATAACAGCGCACATCTGGTACCTCTGCAGGGAGCGCTGTCCCCTAGGCTTCCTCTGGGGATGAAGACTAGAAATGGAGAAGTCTCAATGTTTCTTCAGCAATCTACTGGAGTAACACAAATGACAGGGGACA